TAAGGGAGAAAATGAACACTAAATATCCGACTTTCATGGAAAAAATAAGTAGGGATGCAAATGGATCAAATCAGATTCAAATCAAGGTATATTCGAATCCGATCCAACATTGTTCATGTCAGATCCAATCTGACCTGAAGATCTGATGAGATCTGATAGGACTCAATTTGAATTTGAATCCTATCGGTAAGTCGGATCTTCGGATCTGATCCGATCCGACTTATTTTCTTTAAAAATTAATAAATTAATAAAAAATAAAATATACTAATTTAAATAAAATAAAAATAAAAAATACAAATATGTTTTAATTATTTTCATCATATATATACTTGCTTTTATAAAAAAATAATATAACAAATTTATAAAAAAATAATATAACAATATATTTATAAATAAATTATATATATATATATATTTAAAAATATATAATATACATCGGATCATATAGAGGGTGACCTGAATTCAACCAAATAGGATCCGATCTCGCATCATGATTTGATCTTTGCACCTTTAAAAATAAGCTTCTTAATCCGATTATTGTGGAATAACAGAATGAGAAGATTTTTAAAAATAGAGGCTATGCTCGAGCCCAAGGCCCAAACTGTACAAAGAATATCTCAATATCATACAAAATCCAAAATGGCCTACGTAACAATGGATAACAAAAAAGAGGAGAACCCAATATGATAAAATGAATTCGGTGGGTCTGACCACTATTCTTGATGTTCAAAATTAATTTAATTTTGAACTAAGCACAATGGGAGTTGTGCATGTAACTGCCTAATAAGGAATTGGGATCTGCTCGTAACAAAGCGCTGAGCGCACCTCACACCAATCTCACAAGTACATTCAACCTTTCTATCATAGGAAGTCTTCAAACAATAGGAACTTGAGCAGTAAGTGATTGCTTGCCACCATGTCCTCCGGGAGGCAGATTAATCGACGGATCTTTTATCTTACTTAGCGCTAGATTACTCGGGGGACTCTCTCTCTTGACCCCTCTAATTTTTCTTCTAATTTGTTTGAAAATTTCGGTTTTAGTTATTCTGGTTCGTTTTTTTTTTATTTTTGGTTATTTCAATTTTGTAAAATTTCATTTTTCAGGTTTAGAAATTCGATTAATCGAAAAAATGGAACTAGCTGAATTTTATTATCTATAATATATATTTATATAATACACATATAATATGTATAAAATATATTATATTGTATTATATTATGTATTAAAATATATAATTTATTATATGCACTACAATATATATAATGTTGAAATTCGATTTTAACCAAAATGACTAAAAACCGAATAAAAATTTTCAATTTATTCAACTCGATTTTTAATCAAATAAACCGTTTGCTCACCCCTACTCATTTGTTTTGTAGACTCGTGGAGACATACTACCTTCGGCTTATGTAACACATTTCGGTTTCTATAAATAAATAAATAAATAAACCTTGATGTCCTCCTGTATGCCATTGTTTTCTCGGATTTAGAAGAATCCTCTAAATCATGCCTGTTCTGGCCAATACGGGCGAAGAAGATGAGTAAATCAGGTATTTTAACCAGATGAATCATGGGTTCAAGGATCAATTTGACCAGCAAAAGTAACCCATCTATAATTGATTAAAGTGAGCTCAGTTTTTAATTGACTGAATCGTGGCCCAACTTGACTGGTTAATTCTACGAAATTAAAAATAATGTAGATTCCATTTAAATAATAAATATAGAAAATGCAAATAAAATTACATTATCAGTATTCAGTAATTTAAATGAAATACAAGTAATTACGTTAACATAGAATTTTATTAACTATTGTTAAGTTAAAAGATTTAAACTTCTAGACATTTAGCATTATTACTTAATAAATTTTATTAATAAAACTTAAAGCTTATTAGCATCCAAATTAATTATTATTGACATAAAACAAAAAAAAACGTTATAGTTCCATTTACTGCAAACGAAAATAAAAAAGTAATTAGTTAATAAATTAAAACTATAATACTATTTGTAATATCAATTAATCATTTAATTAATGCTAATTATAATTAAAGATACAACTTTGATAAATTAAACAAACTAAAATTTTGATTGATTAATAGTAATATAATTAATGTAAATAAACTATTAGTATTTAAGTAATTAATGTTTCACCATTTAGGAATTCAATGTTATAGTTACACATTTGTGAATAAAATTGAAATAATTACAAGTTCATTAATATATATATATATATAGATAAATAGATAGGTAGATAAATAGATAGAGAGAGAGAGATAGAGAGAGAGAGAGACTTGTGCCTCAATGTTTGCAACCTGCCAATATATGTATGTATGTATGTATATATAGATTTTGCTGATGTATCATGTTCTAACCTATTTGATTTGGGTAAACAAAGTGACCCACGATATGAATGCAACAACAGTTCAGCCTCCATATTGGTTTTTAAAACATTGATGTATCTTTAAGGATGATACAGAACAAGAAGAAGGGGGGAGAGAGAGAGAGAGAGGTTTGGTCCTAAATGAGTTAAGAAGAGGGGAGCTTCTAGGCGACAGGTTTGGTCCTAGGTCAACAAGTTGAGTAATTTAATTAACAAAAGAGAGGTTAACCATTTTTTAACCATACATTTAACAGTAAATTTATCAAAATTTCAATTCATTGTTAATTAGCATTTAAGCTTTTCAACAATACATTTTAATTGACCATGAACTAAAATTCTATTAATTAACAAAAAATTTAATTCGTAGTAAAATAAACCATAAATCTATAATTTCACTAAAAAACTAGTAAGCATGCAAGTGCTTTTCATGTGGTAATTCTAGATAATGATAATGATAGGTAATATATCCAAAATTTTCTATAAACTTTTATGTATTTTTTTGTTTTTATATTTTATATTTTTTATTATTAATCGAATGTAGATTACAAAATCCAAATATGATTATATAAACACCCCATCCAAATATGAGATAATTGAATTGAGTTGTGAAATTTTAGGTATCATTGCCAACCTACCTGCTTGGTAGGGATGCAAACTGATTGGATTGAATTCAAATTAGGGTATATCTGAATCTGAACCAATACTATTAGTAGAAGATCTAATCGCATCTCATAAACATGGATTTGAATATGAATCCGATGAGGAAGTCAAATATTGGTTCTGATTCATTCCAATTTAATCTAAAAATAATAAAATATTAAAAGAAAATTAAAATATAACAATTAAAAAAAAGAAAAACAAAAAATACAAGTATATTTTCAACTATTTTCATCATAAATATACATCTTTTATAAAAAAATAATATAACAAATTTACAAAATGCAATATATATATCGGATCAGATAGGAAGTGATTCGAATTCAATCCAGTTTCTGATTGGATCATATTATCCGACCCAATCCACATCGAAGATCTAGACTGGGATATTCGAATTCAACAAAAAGGATCGAATTGGATCATGATATGATCCATTTGCACCCTTATTGCTTGGCTAAATTCTTCATTTTTTAATATTTTATTTTTTTTGTGTATCTTTTTTTTTTGTTCATTTATCAAAAAAAATGTAAGATTTAAATAGAATGAATTGAATGTGGTGAAAAGTTGTAATTCAATTTATAATTTGAACATCACAATTAAATATTGACTAAATTCAAAAATGAGTATTTTAGTCAAAAGAAAATTCCACAATCTTATTCATATTTTTAATAGTAGTATAAATATAGAATTATAATTGTGCTCAATTTTTACTATAGTTTTTTTGTACTTTTGTGTGTAAAACTAATTATGATATTTTACACTTACTTTTTGTTTAATAAGACAAATATATGATATTATACATGTGTCTGAATACTTTTTTGCAAGATGTATGCACTTTTTATTTTTGTATTTTTTATTTTATTAATTTTTATTATTTATTTATGATGTTAAAGTTTAATACATTTAACCCAAAAGGTGAACTATTTATTATTAATTTTTATATTTCATTTTTAGCTAGTTTTAAATTATGTATTTCATTTTCATTATCAATAAAAATAATTTTTGTTTCTTATACTTATTTTTTAATTTGATTACATAAATGTGTCTACTTTTTCTACAATTTTTGTAATTTTTCATATTTATTTCTATTTTAAAATTTTTATTACCTAACTATGACTTGGTAGATTGATCAATTTGGATGGTTGAATTGTTTAACCACCACTTGGATAAAAAATGGTTTTGTTTTTGAGTCAATTTTAAAATATATGGATTTATACTATTAAAAATATTGATATAGATCTAATTAGTAGCAATTATTAGTGGAAAATAACTTTAAAATATAGGATTTAATAAGAGAAAATGAAATTTAATACGTTAAGTATAAGATTTAATTAGAGGAGATTAAATGAGATGAAAAGTAATAATTGAACTTACATTTTCAACCCTTACAATTAGAGATGGATTAAATACACAAATATGGGCATTTTAGTAACTATAAAAGCTGACATTAAAACTATAATAAAAGGATTTTTACACCCTTTCCTAAGCAAAGAAATAGAGGGTAATTTTAGTCCAAAAAAACTTCCACACTACATTCACACTTTTATATATAGTATAAGTTTAACAAAAAAATTATGGATTTAATGAACTTTTGATAATTTCTTTTCTTCTTGAAACAATGATTGCATTTATTTTAATCTCTTTTATCATCATATTGGATATCAAAGTTTCCTATTTCTAAAGCCCCTACTAAGATACGTGGGTTCCTATTTTTTCAGCAAATAGCATTTCAAAAGTGATTTGCTCCCATTTTCAAATAGAATTCACATCACTTAAAAAAATGAGAGTGGTTAACTCCATTTTCAATTAGGAGTCTTCAAGCTTAGCCACATGTCAAACCACTCTTTCAAAAGTGTGGGTAGTTAAATAAAAAAACAATTATATAATCATTTCTCTTCTCTATAAAAGTAAAACTTAATTTAATCTCTTAAATTAAATAATAAAAAATTGGTGTTTTTTTTTTTGTAAAAAGCCCGTAGGCTAAATCATTCATTGCACTGAATCAGCTCTTAGTACAGGCAAAAGAAAATCTAGAGAGATGGACCAAGTTTGGGTCCTCGACAAAGTACAACCAAATTTTGCCAAAGTGTGAGCAGAATTATTGCTTGTATGAGGGATGAAGGATATATGAGCTTGATGAAAACCTTGCAAAAGACTCCTGCAATCGGCTATGACTGTATGAAGCTGCAATGGGACCTCAGACTAACGATCTAACAAGATATTAGTAATCTTCTATGCATCCCCTTCAAGAACAATGTGTGTGAGAGATAAATCTTGAGCCAATTGTAAACCATCTCTGAAAGCCAATGCTTCAGCCATCTCAAAATTAGATATTGGAGCACAAACAGACCTTCCACAAACCAACTGACTCAAATGGGTTCGAACAATAATACCAATTCAAGAACATAGAGGGCCCACTGCCCCATCAACATTGACTTTGATGAAAGTTCTTGGGGCGTCGTTCAAGGAATCACCTGAGTAAATCTTTGATCATTCTGTAGTTGCACTTTACTACATTTAAGTGACGACGTAATAAAAAATTGGTGTTGAACAAAAATGATCAACATACATGAATAAAAAATATATCAGAATACTAGCCCATACTTAGTAGGGGGATGCTCATGGATAGACCTGTTGATGGGTCGAGTAGTCCGACGGCCCGATTCATTATTTTTTGGGCTTGGACAAAATTTCAGACTTGTTGGCTTAGGTTTGGGCTTTAAATACTTAATACCAACCCCGATCATTTTTTGGGCCAAGCTCAAGCTTTCTCAAATAGGCCCGGCCCGGGCCCAAGCCCTACCCATACTTGCATATAATAAAAAAGTACTTATGTTATATATATATATTGGTTTCTTAAATTATTAATAAATACTAATTTACTATTTGGAAATACAATTTAGTTTATTAATTTATTAAATTATTACTAAATTAATATAATATTAGTTTATAAAAATACACTAAAAATAAGACATTTCGTGTATAGATCGGGCTTCGGGCTCAAGCTCAAGATCTAGGCCCGGTGGTTGGGCTAGGCTCCAACTTGGGCCTGCACATTTTTTGTTGATAAAGAGGCAAAGCCCCGCCCGGCCCATGAACAGATCTATTCATGCATAATGAATAATAACACATAAATATGGGAGATGTTCCCAATACATGGTAGGATATGCCTATGAGGTCAGTGTGAGGGCTGCATTAGCAGCCACAGCACATCTGGTGGGTCATCACAACAAAAATGGGTTCAACTGGTAACTCTTCTATTATAGTGGCAATAATGTAGGCTGCATTAGCAGCCCATAAACTTGCTTTACAAGTTAGAGATGTTGCAATCACAATTGAAGGAGTTTCTTTTATCACCATAGGAGTGTTGCAAGTGAAGATCAAACCATCAAGGAGATGAGTTCACATCTGCACCCCACAAGGGGGCGGCGCCCCCTTGTAGCACATCTCGACATTGTATTGAGAACATCTCCCAATAATGTCTTATCATTTTCCGTATTATCATCAGAAGATGTCCCCAATACATGGTCGAGATGTACTGTGGGGCATTGTGGGGCACCCCCTTGTGGGGGGTAGATGTGAACTCCAAGGAGATGCGAAACAATGTCAAAGCATAGGAAGCTGGTTCAAGAGTTCAACCTAAATATGAACTACAAGCACATTCACAAAGAGAAAAATCAAGCTGCATATTGGTTGTCTAGTCGACGTCAGAAAAGTGAAGAGGTTCTACCCTTGTATAGATTGATCGGGATTTGATCAACGTTTCTACTATCATCCACAAGACAGTGGATTCACAGATCTCGCGCATATTGGATTTGTCTTTCTTTTAACACTACACCAATAGAATGCAATCCCAAAAGGCACATCTTAGGCCTTGTTTGCTTTTTTGGGAAGTTACTTACCCATACAAGTGTTTCTTGGGAAATACTTACCCATAGGGGTGTCCATGGTTCGATTAGCCAAACTATGGCCCTTTTTTGTAAACCAAACCGATGGTACCAGTTTTTTCATTTTGTCAAACTGAAACTGAACCAATACCACCAATTAACCGGACCATCAGTTTCGGTTTTTGACCGATTCCGTTCTTTGGTTTTTTTATTTTTTATATTTATAATATATATTATATAAATATATGTATAATATTATATTATAAATATATAATATATTTATAAATAGATCATTATAAATATAATATAATTATATATTTATATATAATACATAGAAAATATGTGACATATATTAAAAATATTAATAAAATATACATATATATATACCGATCGGTTCGATTAACCGCATTTTGCGATTCGATTTTTTGGTTTTTTATAAACACCCCTACTTACCCAAGTAAGTGCATTTATTCCTAAGTAAATTCAAATGTTGTCAACTTTGACCTTTGCTCACTGTGTCATGGAGTTTTGAACAACAACGAAACTCGATGAAGCTGAAGTTTGTGTATAGATGTAATAAATTTATTAAACATGCCTTTGCATGTGTTTTCTTACCTTACATATTCCTCTTTGTCTTGTATATTTCCCCTTGAGCATTGAAAACTAAAATGTCTTTTTGTTAGAGAGGAGCTCTCAGACTTAAACCCGCATACTCATGTTTGTCGGTATTAGAGTTTGCCATTGCACCACTAAGCAAAGGCAACCAGTATATATATACATATATACTGGTGAGAAATTTTGTTCCATCCAAATGTAATCAACTTTCCCCTAGGTGAGAAATCCACATAAATCTCGAAAAAGAACATAATATCTTGATCAATGAAAATCCCCTCTCAAAACCCAAAAAACAAACCTGCCCTAAAGTTTCCACAGAGTTGGGGAGAGGATGTTTATTCTGTTAGGCTTAGTTTGGAAAGAGTACACATACAAATATGTAGAGTGCAAAACCTTACATTTTGTATTATTTTATATGTATTTATACTGTGCATATTTGTATTTGCACTCCTTCCCAAGAATCCCAACTGAGCCTATGGCTGTGTCGTACAAATGCATGAGAGTGCAAATGTAAAAAATGCAAGTTCTTGTTTAAGTTTGTACTGCAAGCAAAGAAAATAAGCTAAAATTTGAAATAAAAATAGGTCAGAATTTACACTCAAATCATTTGCACTGTCATGGTTTTGTATCAGTATAAATTTATTCGCATTGCAATCAAAACAGCCTAACGAACAATTTGGATCAGTTGGGCCAAAGCCGGCAAGCCCCTTGCCAAAGCTCAAGCTACTGGACTACACCCCGGTGTCTAAGACTCGGACGACAACCTCACTGGCCGAGTCAGACTGAGAAACAGCCCATCATCGTTCTTGTCTAATCCAAGGAACTCAACATTTCAAACAAAATTTAATCACAGGATACACAAATAATTATCCAAAAATTAATTAACTATTCAAACTTACATGTACGTGCAAACCTCTGATAGTATTTATATTATATTGCAATTGCTTCCATCATCAATGCCTTTGCTTAGTGGTGCAATGGCAAACTCTAATACTGACAAACATAAGTATGCGGGTTTAAGTCTGAGAGCTCCTCTCTAACAAAAAAACATTTTAGTTTTCAATGCTCAAGGGAAATATACAAGACAAAGAGGAATATGTAAGGTAAGAAAACACATGGAAAGGCATGTTTAATAAATTTATTACATCTATACACAAACTTCAGCTTCATCGAGTTTCGTTGTTGTTCAAAACTCCATGACACAGTGAAAAATCAAATTAAGAATTATTTTACACACTTACTCTACTGCTGCTTTTCTTTTCATCCTCATGCTTTTGTGAGGTGCTTGAGAACACTATAATTGATAATAATTTCCAATACTTTCTCTTATCTTCGGCTTCTTTCTCCTTTATCACTTATAGTTGTTTATTTCTTCACATTCTTCTGCAATGCCTGAAAAGAAAGAGAAATGAAGAGACAAGAACAACATGAATAGTGAGTGCTGCATGAAACAAATATTTTCAGTTATTTTGACTAGATACAAAGTTTTATATTTCTCATCATAAAGCTATTGCACTACAATCAGATTTCTTAGTTCCTTTCCTTGATTAAAGTCTATAAGAAAGAATCTAGCATGATAGAAAATGTACCTTGGTTCTTTGAATCTTATGAAATGAAAATCCAAAAGTGTATCCAAGTACCAACCCACTAAGTTTCTTTTTTTATTCCCTGTTTCCTTATTTTCCTAGATCTTTCTTGGCAATGTTACCCTTACTAATTATAATTCTGCAATGTGAGCAATGTAAAACACTAAGGGTAACAGTGTCTTAGAATTATTTTTTCCTTAGGCTCAGTTTGGAAGGAGTACAAATACAAATATGTAGAGTGCAAAATCTTGTATTTTGTATTGTTTTGTATGTATTTATATTGTACATATTTATATTTGTACTCTTTCCAAACTGAGACTTAATTTTAGAACTTCAATATTCTACATTTTTTTTTCTGGATAAAATGCCCCCATTGTCTCAAAAACTTATGAAATAAAATTGAATAAAGAACTCAATCCAACATATGAGTTCTATTTCAAATACAATTCAAACTCTACATATCTCTCAGGTATGAGCTATTATCATCTCCATTTATCTATCTGAACCATTCTCCCTTACAAGGTAGAGCAGCAATGGCCATTGGAAAAGAGTTGATCAGTAACCAAAGGCATTGTGCCAACAATGATTCAATATTCTCCATTGTTTTCATTCCCAGGTGCAGCCAGACTGGACGGTTGGACTGTCAAAACTGGGAAACAGCAGCCAAAATGGGTTTTTGGTTGCCTGGTTCTGGGGAATGTTGACTTGGTCAAATATACCCCAATTACATGTATTAGTAGTTTTTATACCCTCTAGTATTTATTTTTTCATCTTATTTTCATGTAAACTAACTTTTAAAATATCATTAGAAACAATTTCATTTTTCTTTTTTTTTTTTGCATTTTTTATTTGGATGAGTTGAACCATTCAACCCATGACCAAGTCACCAAAATAATTAATTCTATCTGGTCCAAGTCTGACAGCATTGCCTGCAACAGAGTTGTTGCATCACAGCTGGCTGCAACTCAAATCTTAGTTCACCTGGCAATATCATGTTTTTTTTGGCGGCAACATCATGTTAAATACTGCCAATCTATCAAGTTCAGGCTTGTTCAGGAATGACTGAAGTGGAAGGAAGAGGTTAGAATCATTAATTCACCTCACAGTTTTCCTTCATGGCTAAAGTATAATGGAACAATTGAATCTGTTTATTGAAGCCAAAAGTTTTACAATGCAATATCACAGGATTAACTACCATGAATCTCAGACCTGATCATTTTTCAAACATACAGACACGACCAATGCAATATCATTGGATTTATTGTGCATTGATTTTTGAAAAACCAGCTGCTTTAGCCTAATGTTTTCCCATTGCTATACAGCACTTTTGATCGTCATGGGTCTGTCAAAACATGTGGGAAGCAACTTCTTAGCATCAACAGTTCCACCTATTAGAAGGATATTAGGGCTTCTTTTGGGGGCATATCTATCAGCAAACTGTTACTTCTTCCTTTATGTGCATAGTCCCATTTGCTCCAATGAAAATAAGTCCAAGGGGCTAAAGGGAACAATTTCCTTAGGTGAATGTGTTCTCTACAAGTTACCCATGTCTGGATTGGTTGATGAGAACCACCAAGATGGCACTGTAATAATAATTGGAGTAGAGCCATTGTTTTGCTTTTCTTCCTCATTATTGTCATTTTGTATTACACAGAGTGGTTGCTGCTCCCTAGAGCAAGAAAGGTAAAAATAAAGCATAAAATCTACCTTTCAAGTAGCCCTGTAAAGGACAAATTTGATAATGGAACAAAGAAAAAGAAGGAACATAATACATGGAACAAAGAAAAGGAGGAACATGATATGACTAACGATATGGTATCAACGGAGCTTGGCTTGTAAAGTGGTTAGAGCTAATTCAAAGGAGACAAAACTGAAAACAAAGTGCTGAAGGAAGTTGATTCTATTACGCAGTCAGAGAAGATCAAAATAAAGGAGGATAAACCCATGATGGGTTTTGCAATAAGGTCTTAATAAAGGAAGAAGCAGCTAGCCTGGATGAATACTTCTGGTAGAGGGACTGAAAGAGAAAGTAACATGGTTAAGGATTAGGAACTGAATACAGTATTTCAAATTAAAATAACAGTAAAAGAAGATGGAAACTGCAAAGTAAGCAAAGAAATTATTTGATTCTTGATGAAACAATATACAAAGTTGTCATTCCAATTCTATTTCTTAATTTTTCTAAAACTTGTAATTACTTTTTTTTTCAAAAGTGCTAAATCACTTTTGGTCAGCTTATTGAGGAAATATCCATAATTCACCTTCTTATGCTGTAACGAGAGTTTCCAGGTTGATGATCTTATTCACTTGCTTTATTCTAAATATTGGAACTGATGAAGTGTAAAGGTGATACATTTCACATTGAGGACTGCAAATGGATTAGGCTTTAGGAAAGATGCCTCATTCCCTGTCTAAGTTATTTAACTGTTAAAAGTTTGTAGCCAATGTTTAGGTTTAGCTGTCTGATGCCAGAAATACTGTTGTAAGGGAAAATCCTGACTGTCAGTTGAATTACCCCTCATCATTTTCTGGAACTGCTCTGCATTCTTTTACTTCTTCCCTTGTAGGTGGATTTTGTCCAATTTCATTTCTTCTAAGTGGTTTTAATTTTGATTGAATAAAGTCATTCTATAGAAGAATAAATGACTTGTCCTTTAGACTGTTTTAAACAACAACCTAGAAACAGAATCATTTTCCCTCCAGGTCATGAGTCAACAGTTCAACCATCTGGGCCAAATGAGTCACCTGTGAATTCATAAATCAGCAATGACCATATAAAGTGAATAAAAATGTAGAGTAAGAAAAGAAAACTACAAAAAAATTGCAGAAAAAGGTTGGGTAGGTCTCTAATATTATATACTCATCATATTGGCGTGTGATAAATGAGCATCGTTGCTATTAATAATGAAAATGGGCTAAACATACAAATAAAATAGAAAAAATAATGCTTGACCCATGACCAACTAACCAAGTCAAACAGTTCAGCAGTTTGAATGGACAGGTAACTGGGTCATAGGTAAAGTCAATGTTGTTTTGCAAATAAATGGCTCAAGGGTGAAATGGACCCGGAAACCTGGACGGGTGACAAGTTGGCCAGTTCAACCACAGGTTGAAAACATTACCTTTTAAGTGGGTACAAGCTCTGGTATTTTCTAATGCAGCCTATAATCATAATCAATGAAGCACCGGATCATATTCTAATAGCTAGTGTGTTAGTGAGTTTCTAACAACTAGTTTATTGGTACGTGTGCAACTAGGGCGGGCCTGACCTGAGCCCAACCAGAGTTTTTGCACAGGCTGGGCCTGCATTTCAGGCTGTGGGTTGGGGTGGGCCAAAAAACTCAGGCCTGGCCTAAATTTGGATAGGACTTGGGTTGAGGCCTCAGGTAGCCCAAGCCCAACCCTAGCTTGGCCCAACCCAACCTGAGCCCACCTGAACAAATGCATATACATGCATTATATTTATATAAAACCATCTTTTTTTCTAATAATATATACATGCATATATGTATAAAATATGTATATGCACATTAGTAAATGAAATTTGTCGATACTTTCAATTAATTATACTCTTAAATTGGGCCATAAAGCCCAATAAAAATGACCATATAAATAATTATTCATAAATTCTTTCAAACCTGACCAACTCACCCAACCCGAATTGTACTGGAATAAGCTCAGGTTAGGCCTAGGTTGATAAACTTGGGCCTAACCTCGGGCTGGGCTCCCGATGAGGTTTGCACCTTTAGGGTTGGGCCTAGGATGAACTTCAACCCAATCCAGCCCACCTGAGTTACACCTCTATTTATAAATGAGCCTTTGGCAGATTTATTTTAGCCAGCAGATAGTTTGTTAGTGGGTTAACAACTAGTTTTGCTTCAGCTTTAAATGCTCCAACAACTATATTTTTTCTATGCGTAACCTCAAGCATGAGGCATCCAGATTTTACCTTTGCTTGTGAATCTAAGAGATTTCTTTTGAGAGTTGAAAAAATAAGACTCTTTCAGGTAAGTGAGTCCCCAAACCTTGTTGCATCTCTATGTAATCAATCTGTTGAAGCTAATCAACATACACCAGTCTCCATCCAGATTGTTTTAAATTCTCCCATCCCCATTTTCCAAACTTATTCTTTGGCCAAGTTTGTATTGTCTTCCTTATCAGATCAAAAGGCCTTGCAGCTAGGGGTGGATTCAAGCCAAGCCAAGCCGAATACTTGGCTATTCAAGCTCGGCTTGCTGAAATAGTCTTGGGCTCGAGCTTGAGGTAGAGACTTGAGCTCGAGCTCGAGCTCGGCTCGGTTCAAAGCTCGCAAGTTTGAGCTCGGCTTGGCTCGAGCTCGACTACAAGCCAAGTTTTTTCTAAAAAATAAAAATTATACATATAAAAATATTTTTTATTTTACATACAACAAAATAAGAATTATAAAATTATTTATTATTATATATAAAAATAAAAAATATACATATAAAAATTGTTTTTATTTTACATACAAAAAAATAAGAAATTAAGAATTATAAAAAATATATTTATATATTTAAATGTATATGTATATGTATGTATGCATGCATGTATATAATAAAAAATTATTTTATTTATTATACTAGACTTGCGAGCCTCACAAGCCGAGCTTCACTGGGCTCGAGCTCGGCTCGGTTAGAAAACAAGCCTATGTATCAGGCTCGAGCTCGGCTTGAAACTCGGTTTAAACAGAGCCAAGCCGAGCTCGAATAGCTCATTAGAAGCTCGGGTCATGACCACCCCTAGTTGCAGCACTGATGGAGCTATAGAAATTTGGCAAAGTAGAAGCCAATAACATGTTCCTGATTTTTCATCAGAAACCATAACTAGTTGAAGTCAGTCACCATAAACCGACAATTAATTGGGAGAAAAGTTAAACTAGAAAATTTTACAAGATCAGCCAAACTTCCTCTTCTGTCTCTGAAATCGTTTCTATCCTGTCAATATAGCAAAGAATTATCCTTCATCTTTACAGAAATGGAGATAAATAAACTAGTAGTAAGACAACTTCCAAGTTTGTCTCAACTGGGTTCTAAAATATCCAAATCCCTCTGTTTAATCCTTGTAATTCCCCATTTTTTTCTAAACTCTTTTACTGGCAGCAGAAATCCCATTCATCTTGATGCTGTTAGGTGAGGTCCATGAATAGGTTTTTGTTCTCTAACACGCCCCCTCACATAAAAGCCCATTGGGCTTGAAACGTGGACAAGCACAGACCTACTCGTACCTTGTGCTGAAATTTAATTGATTATAATGGAGGTGATGAGGATGGAACACTAGACCACTTGGTCAAACAGGCTCTAATACCATCTTAAGAAAAATTTGAATTTCAGTTCAAATCTGGGTTCATAGTTTGCAATTCACAGTTTTTAGGAGAACCTGATTCGTTAGGATTACGCTTCTAAATTTGGTTTACTCAAATAATAGTAATATATGTTAGTCTGATACAATTCGTAAACTTTAATCTGATTAACTCCAACAGCCCAAATAAGGAAAATTTGAAAAACAAAAGAACCAAGTAACTAATTAATGCATTCAGTTGTTAAATTGAAAAGGTGTACATAAAGGTTAGTAAACCTACCTTGAGTCCCTTATCTTTGTCAGAAACTTTGGCCTCCTTTGAGTCACAAATGTACAGTTATTTGTTTCTCGCCTTAGAGTATGTGCCTTTGATAGAGAACGTTTAGCTTCATCGTCTTTCACACTTCCCTTCTTAGTTTTCTCACTGGAATCCAAACATTCATCCCACGCTAAAGAGGAAACATAAAGAAGCATAAGCAGGTTTAGCTCTGGGAGAAGCGATGCTTGTGACAACCGAAGAGAATTACTATCACCATTTTCTTCTTCCTCTTCATCATCCTGATTTGTGTCTTTAATTGATTCCGGCATCTTTTCAACATTATTCAAAATAATACAAGCGTTAATAACTATAACAGCACAAGATGTTTATGAGAAAAAAAAAAGAGAAAGAAATTGTGTTAAATATGTCTTTTATCTATTCGTTCCATGAGACAGTGCTCTTAAACACACTTGGGGGGAAACGTAAGATAAAAGTGAAATAAAGAATAAATATTTGAAATAACCAGAAATTAAAAGAAAAATATCGAAATCAACTTTACAACCAGAAAAAGAAAACCGAAGCAAATAAAATTGTGATTCTGTGAACGGCCAAGAAGAACAGGCTTATGAGGTTCGTGTTCACTCAGCAGCCTTTAGCCTACGATTGAAAGGAAAAGGGTTCACTTCTTTTTTCTTTCTTCCATACTAAATCATGGTCAGAAAAACAGGGCAGGTATACAAACAAACACCACTTCTCGTAAACAATACTCAACTTTTCTTGAGTTATCAAGAAACCAGAAGACTGATAAAAAGAAGAACAAGTCGCACCTCTCCATCGATCTTATCCATTTGAAATGATACCATCAAACTAAAACCATCGTGGTCATTATAAGATGAATCAAATAAGAGGAGTCCTCTCCCAGACGATTCTCGACCCTCTATGACTGCTAAATGTGTACAGCCAGAAAATAGTAAAACTTGGACTGCACCTCAAATCTAAAAATGAAGTAGAACTTAATTTTGACAAGGCATAAGAACGGCGGAACACCTTCGAGATCTCAGAGTCTAAAGGGTAAACGAGAAATTTGACGCGAATTTGTTTATTTATAGGTGGAGATTTTGGGCTGTGGACAATTGGGGTTGGTTAAAATTGTTGGTTTCAAGTGGGTATCGGAAAACAAGGAAGTAGCACAGGTCGGATCGAAATATCTATTTTGTTCGGTGGATTTGTCGACATTTTAAAGTCTATTAATTTAGATATTATAACTTGCAATTTTGCCAATAAAAAGAAATTTGCTATTTGCTACATTAAAAATAATAATGGTTTTTTAATAAAATATTTGTAATTATAAGTATTCAACTCTTGAAATTTATATAAAGACTTAGATCATCATTCTGGGTTGGGCTTGGGCCAGGCTTTGCACCTATGATAAGGGTTATAGCTTAGGCCCGGGCCGGGCCTGAGGTTCTGGGCCTGAAATATAAGCCCTAGCCCAGGTCTATATGGGCTCGGGCCGGGGCAAATTTGATTCCAGGCCAACGTCACTCATATATAAAACATTATATATATATATATATATATATATATATATATATATTAAATGACATAACATGCATATAAACTTATTTTATACATTATATAATATAAATTATATATGTCATGTTATATATTTATATATAAAATATATAATATAATGTAAAATAACATGTATACATATGTATACATTATACACAAGATGTACAAGTTTAAATATATGCGGAACGGGTTGGGGTTGGGCCCAGGTTAGACTTAAAGTATTAAGCCCAAGCCCGACCCTAAAATTTGTAGGCTTGATGTGGGCCTGAGCTCGGGTCGGGCCTGAACACAAAACCCAGGCCCAAGCTCGAAATTTCCAGGTTGGGCTTGTGCGGGTGGGACCAGGCCGGGCTGAAATGATCACCCATAATCATCATGTGCTTGTTTTTTAAATATTGTTTCAGCAAAGCATCTCATATAAAAGAGCATGATCATATAGTGATAGTTCTGAGTTCTACTTCATAGTTGTCCTTTGTTTCATATCGAGAACTCCCAGTTGACAAGGACAGTGGGACCATTCAGCCCAAGAACCGTCTAGGCAACCGGTTTTGTTTTACCCCAAACCCGGTCCCTAGCCAAAAATCGTTGAATCAGTCAACGACCCATTGACCCAGGCGGTTAAACAGTCGACCCGTTCAATAGTTTTTGGCCATTTTTTATTTTTAATTTTTTTTTTATTTTTTAATATTTGTTGTCAGAATGGGCCATCTGTTCGAACCGGACAGTCAAACCGTCGACTTGGAAACCGGTGGCCAAAACGATTTTGTTTTCAAGTCATTTTTTTATAGATGTCAATAATTAGATGAAATAACTTTGTAGTCATGGTCATGGGAAGGGTGGACATTGCAAGGGATTCCAAAACCTTGAAAGACAAATCCAAAGTGACCTTAAACATAGAAAAAAAAATGGCAGTAAATCCACCAAACTGGAAAAACCAAGGGAAAAAATTTAAAAAATCGAGTCCAAAGTTTTACTTTGAGATGGAGATAAACATACATGCAATCAAAGAAGAGACAAATCAGATTATTTTGTAAGAAAAATAAATAAATAAATAAAATATTGCACAAGAAAACCCAAAGAAAAAACAAAAGGGAAGAAATAAAGCGGTGCTAAACCCTAGACCGTTTTGGAGGATCTTGAAGAAGAAGGCCAAACACAAAAAAAAAAAAAAAAAACAAAAACCAAAAGTAGAAAATGAAAAAAAAAAGGAACACACCACCACACATGCTTGGATAAAAGCCCACAGTAGAAGAAACCTTTGAATAGTGAAAATCCAAAAGCATAAAAGCCATGGTTTTCAAACCGCCATTGACTCGGACAAACGAACATTTTGGCCCGGGAACTATCTAGGCAACCGGTTCCATTTTACCCCAATTCTGGTCCTTGGCCAAAAACCGTTGAATTGGTCAACAACCCATTGACGTAGCAGTCAAACCATCAACCCATTAACCCATTCTATGGTTTTTGGCCATTTTTTATTTATTTTTAATTGGGAACCGTCTAGGCAACCGATTTCGTTTTATGCCAATCCCGGTCCCTAGCCAAAAACCGTTGAATTGGTCAACGACCCATTGACCCGGGAAGTCAAACCGTCGATCCATTGACCCATTCAATGGTTTTTGGTTTATTTTTATTTTTTTTTTATTTTTATTGTCAGAATGGGTCGTTCGTTTGAACCAAATGGTCAAACCGTTGACCCAAAAAACCAGTGGCCAGAACGGTTCCATTTTCGGGTTATATGAGCCACATGCTCGAATGACACAACACGTACGATACTCCTTAGTGGACCTCACACACTCGATTTTTTGCCTATATTTTTTTTTTTGTTGTCAAAACGGTCGTCTGTTCAAATCATATGGTTGAACCGCCATTTTTTATTTTTTAATTGGGAACCGTCCAGGCAGCCAGTTCTGTTTTACCCCAATCCCGGTCCCTGGCCAAAAACCATTGAATCGGTCAACAACCCATTAACCCGACCGGTCCAACCATCGACCCATTGACCTGTTCAATGGTCTTTGGCCATTTATTATTATTATTATTATTTTAATTATTGTTGTCAGAACAGGCCATCCATTTGAATTGGACGATCGAACCATTGGCTCGAAAACTAGTGGCCAGAACGGTTCGGTCGTATGAGTCACACGCTCGAATGACATAACATGTATGATACTACTTAATGGACCTCTCACACTCAATTTTTTGCTTGTAATTTTTGTTGTCAGAATGGGCAGTCTAGTCGAACCTTCAACTTGAAAACCGTGGCTATAATGGTTTCGTAATTTTTTGCTTGTAATTTCTGTTGTTAGAACGGGTCATCCATTTGAACCGAACAGTCGAACCGGCGACAAGAAAACTGGTGGCCAAAATGGTTCTGTTTTTAGGTTGTATGAGTCACACGCTCGAATGACATTACGCGTATGATATTGCTTAATGGACCTCACATACTCAATTTTTTGTCTATAATTTTTGTTGTCAGAACGAGTCGTCCGTTCAAACCAGATAGTCGATCCCGAAAATCGATGGCCAAAATGATTTCGTAATTTTTTACTTATAAATTTTGTTGTCAAAATGGGTCATCCATTTGAAGCGAACGTTCGAACCTTATGTTTCAATGAAGTCTTTTATATATATAAGGGAAATACTGCCATTTGGCAAAAGGGGAGACCACCCCTTTCCCTTTCCCTCATAAACTATCAGGCTCGAGCTCGATTCAAATTAGAGACTTAAGCTTAAACTCGAGTCAAAAGCTCGGAAGTTCGAGCTCAACTACCTTTGATTGCAGGTCTCTTAAGCAGTCAAAGTGCCGAGCTGAGGTCTCCCTCAATTGTCGAGGTGCCAAACCGAGGTCTCCCTCAACTGCTAAAGTGTTGAGTTGAGGTTTCCCTAGCATGTGAGGTGTCGAGCTGAGGTCTCCCTCAGTTGTCGAGGTGCTGAGCCGAGATCTCCCTTAATGACCAAGGTGTCAAGCCAAGGTGACACCCTATGTACACTCTCGATTAGGCTCTTGAGACCTTTGATTGCAGGTCTCCCTAGCAGCCGAGGTGCCGAGCCAAGGTCTCCCTCAATAGTCGAGGTCTCCCTTACCTGTTGAAGTGTCAAGTTAAGGTTTCCCTAGCAGGCGAGGTGTCAAGCTAGGTCTCCCTCAATTGTCGAGGTGTTGAGCTGAGGTCTCCCTTAATGGTCGAGGTGTCGTCTAGCTCGAGCTCGATTTGAATTAGAAACTTGAGCTCAAGCTCAGACTCAGAAGTTCAAGCTTGGCTTGGCTTGAGCTCAACTACCTTTGATTGCAGGTCCCCTAGCAGCCGAGATGCCGAGCTAAGGTCTCCCTCAATTGGAGAGAGAGTGGCATTCTTGTAATTTATAAGGAGAGAGAGATGTCAAGAGAGAGAATGGCATTCTTGCAATTTATAAGGAGAGAGAGTTGATAGGAGATAGTGGCACTCTTGTAATTTGTAAGGAAAAAATCAAAAGAAAGAGTGGCATTATTGTAATTTGTAAGAAAAATAGTGAGGGAGTTGGTAGGAGAGAGAGTGGTAATATTGTAATTTGAAAGAAAAAAAGCAAGAGAGAGAGTTGGTAGGAGAGAGTGGCATTCTTGTAATTTGAAAGAAAAAAAAAAGCAAAAGAGAGAAAATTGGTAGAGAGTGGCATTCTTGTAATTTGAAAAAAGCAAAATTTACTGTTAGATTCCATTATTTGCCTATACATTCCAACTTAATGTATTTACTAGCGAAGGGGGCCCTGAGTTGCAAGGGCTCACTCATAAACTATCAGGCTCAAGCTCGATTCAAATTAGAGACTTGAACTCGAGCTCAAGCTTGGATCGAGTCAAAAGCTCAGAAGTTCGAGCTTGGCTATCTTTGATTACAGGTCTCTCAAGCAGTCGAGGTTCCGAGCCAAAGTCTCCCTCAATTGTTGAGGTGCCAAACCGAGGTCTCCCTCAGCTGTTGAAGTGTCAAGCTGAGGTTTCCCTAGCAGGCGAGGTGTCAAGCTAAGGTCTCCCTTAGTTAACAAGGTGTCGAGCTGAGGTCTCCCTCAGTTGTTGAGGTGCTGAGTTGAGATCTCCCTCAGTGACCGAGGTACCGAGCCGAGGTCTCCCTCAGTGGTCGAGGTGTAGTCTAGTTCGAGCTCAATTCGAATTAGAGACTTGAGCTTGAGCTTAGAAGTTCGAGCTCGGCTCCGCTCGAACTCGACTACCTTTGATTACAGGTCCCCTAGCAGCCAAGATGCCGAGCTGAGGTCTCCCTCAGTTGGAGAGAGAGTAGCATTCTTGTAATCTATAAGGAGAGAGAGAGAGAGAGAGAGTTGGTAGGAAAGAGAGTCGCATTCTTGTAATTTGAAAGAAAAAAAAGAGAGAATTGGTAGAAAGTGACATTCTTATAATTTCTATGAAAAAAAGGCAAAAAATAATGTTAGATTCTATTTCCCTAGTCCTCAAGCCTTCTTACATACACAATTTGGCGTAATATATTGATATTGATATTAATATATAAGATTATAATATGGTTTAAAGAAAAGGGTAAAATACAAAAACGTCCTTAAAGTTCCTGACAATCATAAAAATCTTTTTTATAATTTTACTTTAA